CTAATTGCATTAATATCCTTACTGATGTCATTCTGGCAGTTGGTGAGAAAGTTTCATGATAATCAACATGTGGGATTTGGGAATACCCCTTTGCTACGTAACGAGCTTTAAATCTTTCTTCCCCATTTGGAGCAGTTTTTATGGCGTACACCCATTTCCCCCCCACAGAATTCTTATTCTCAGGCAAAATTGCTGGTTCAAATGTCTCATTTTCTTTTAAAGCTTTGATTTCCTCTTCCATGGCCTGTTGCCATTTCTTAGAGTCATTAGAAGCCATTGCTTCTTCATAAGACTTAGGAGCATCTACAGCTCTATAGCAGTAGTCAATGGTGAAATTTACATTGTTTTTCTCAATCTCACTTCCATCTACTTATTGCTCTAAATATCTAGGTTTTGTATGCTCATGTCTTGGATATCTATTTATGTGTGGTTGTTCAGTGGATGTGTTTAGCTCATTTTCGTTTACTTCAACTGGAGGATTCTCATTAACTATATTGAATTCAGTGGTGCTTGCGGGCATACCTACAAGTACTGGTTCATCAATCATTACTTCAGTCTTTGGTACATCACTTTCAACATTAAATTTGTCGGAAAATCTTACATTTCGGCAACGCTTAATAGCTTGGGTGCTTGGAAAATAAATGAGATAGGCTGGACCTCCCTTATCATAGCCTACAAATACACCTTGTTCTGCTTTTGCATCTAACTTTTTCTTTTCTTGTTTGTATGCATAGCAAATAGTGCCAAAAATATGCATGTTTTGAATATTTGGCTTGTGTCTAGTAAAGGCTTCAAACGGTGTTTTCTTAATCCTATGATTGAAACAACAGTTCCTTATGTACGCTGCGGTCATAACAGCATAAGCCCAAAATGTTTTTTGTAATTTGGATTGTAAAAGCATGCATCTAGCCATGTCAAACAGTGACCTCCAATTTCGTTCTACAGTCCCATTTTGATGGGGTGAATAGGGGGCTGATTTTTCATGTTTAATACTATGTTTGACCAAAAGATTCTGAAATTCTTGTGAAGTGAATTCTGTTCCGTTCTCGCTCCTAATGCGTTTTACCTTGCTATATGGAGTAATATCAGCTAAAATTTTTCAGTTGCCTTCAGGGTGCGAATTAACGGTGTGCAATGTGCAATTTGCACATCGTTTTGGCTAAAATGAAAATAATTGCACATCACTTTTTCAAACGATGTGCAAAGGTTTTCCATTAATTACTATCACATGTATTGAAAAAAAAGTTTTTAAAATCTTAGGCCATGTAAATGGCTATGTAGACACAATGTCATCAAATTCAAAAACGTCGTCACTTTGAGACTGTCAACAGTCGACATACTGGTCGACATACATGGTTCTTCTGATCATATACGGATGTAATACATATATAAATATTAATTTTTGCATTGCGTTGTTTTGTAGTTTGTACATCATTACTTTTTTTGGCATCATAGCTAATTTGAGTGTTTTCGATAAAATCAGGAGACATTTTCCTTCTGGTTCCTAAAAAACCTTTAAAATTTTCAAATTTGAAAAATAAGCCAAAAAGATTTTTGGGAGCGAAACGTTAGAAAAAAAAACCAAGAAAAAAAAACTGGCAACCTTGATTAACCGTATTTTTTGCTTTTACGCATTGTTTATAATATGACAAAAATATTTTTTGTTATAAGTAAACATCAATAAAACATATTAGATAATCAGAAGACAAAAGTAGCTATATTCGGTGCATGTTTCTCTTCTCGCTTTTGTTTTTCTTGCCATGATGGCTTCTTCGTCGAAAGGTTGTACTAGCAAAATTAACACAGTAAAAAAATGAATAGAAACATTAAATGCCGACTGGCTTGAATACGAGAATGATAGCCAAGTGGTGAATTCACTGCGCTGTAAAGTTTGTACAAACAAAGAGGACAGAATAACAAGTGCAAAAAATTTCTCTCGCACATTCATAACAGGATCAGCTGTTGTAAAGAAAAACACAGTGGTAAATCATATGAATTCTGATCAACATAAGATGGCAGTTAAGCTAAATTTGAAAGAAACGTTGAATGAGAAATATGTTGAAGAATACTTAAACGAAACTCCCATTGGGCAAGGACTCAACAAAATGGCAGTTGCCGATCACGAAAGGATGGAATATCTCTTTAATGCCACTTACACTGTGTGTAAAGAAGAGTTGCCTTTCAAAAAGTATATCCTCATTTGCGAGCTCCTAGAGAAGTGCGGCGTTGATCTAGGAAAATCGTATCGAACAGACCGATCAGCCGCTGAGTTGTCAAATCACATTTCTGGGGTCATGAAAGGAAATCTTGATGAAGATTTAGAGGATGCTAAATATTTGTCAGTTTTATGCGATGGCAGCACCGACACCAGTGTAAAATCACAAGAATTATTTTACGTGTTACATGTGAATAAGAACGGTCGTAGTACTTGCAAATTGATGTCGGTTGAAACAGTTGAAAACGAAGATGCTGCAGGGCTGAAGGAAGCTATGAAGGAAGCTTTTACCCGTTTTGGCATTACAAACTTTGAATCGAAACTAGCTGCAACTGGTTCTAGATGGGGCAAGTGTTAATATGGGGAGAAATACTGGTTTAGCTGCTCGTCTAAAAGAAGTCGCTCCCTGGCTCACTGTCGTCCACTGCTTTAATCACCGTCTAGAATTAGCTGCTGCCGACGGATTCAATGCTGCGTTTTTTGCACAAGTAGATGAAATATTGCGTCAACTGTTTTCTCTGTACCAGAAGTCACCCAAGAAAGTGAGAGAGCTAAAAAAACTAGCTGAAGTGTTTGGAGAAACTGTCTATAAGCCCATCAAAGCAAGTGGGACAAGGTGGATAGATCACAAAGTGCGCGCCACGAAGCTTTTTCAGCATCTTGAACAGGTAAAAATGACTAATTTTCCAACTTTTTCTGATTTCCATCAAATTTGCATCGCCTCCTTAAATTTTCTAGAATAATGTTTGCCTGTAATAACAGTAATAAGCATTTTTATTAAATTATTTGCCATGTATTATGTTACTTTTTGTTTCTTATGTAGGCCTCAACTACTTCACCTGATGCCCAAAAGCAGAAGATAAATGGATTCCTAGCTAAATGGAAAGACGCTCGTTTCCCAATGTATGCTTCTATCCTTGTGGACATTATTGATCCTTTGCGTGTTTTGTCTCTTGGACTACAAACTGACGACAGTGATCCAGTTAAAGCTTTAAGGAGAATCAATGAATTTGACTGGACTATGGTCAAGCTTCAAGCTAGTACGTTTGGCAAGGCTACTTTCGATAAATTTAGGAAGGATTGCAAACCTATTGGTGACGACAAGAACCAGATTTCGTATCAAGGTGTTGTGCTCACAAATTATCCCGTGCACTAAATGGAGCTGCGGGACAACGACAAGAGTGGATGGATGCGATTATCCTCTGTTTGGGCAATCGCTTTAGTAATTTTCAAGAGACACCAGTTTACAAACACCTTTGTCCAATTATACACACCCAGTCCTGGCCAGGTGAGGAAGTTAATTTGGTGAGCTATGGAGACGAATCGGTTACGCTACTTGTCGACCAATTCATTCAGCTTTTGAAGCATAACGGATGTGATGTGTCGCACGATACGATGCTGACAGAATGGAGTGGGCTTAAGTTGTTGATTTCAGAGACGTATGGCAGAGCTATACCATACTTAGATGTTTGGGCTGCCATTCTCTCTTCACCAATTAGTAAAGAAAAGTTTTCAAACGTTCTTAACATTGTGGAACTGTTATTAATTACGCCCATCTCTAATGCTGTGGTTGAGCGAATGTTCTCAACAATGGCCAGAATGAAGCCACACCTACGTAACAGAATGTCAAGAGAAAGATTGGACAGTCTGTTACGAATTAGTGAGGAGGGTCCATCAGTGGAAGATTATGTTCTAGCTCCCGCAATAGAGTGGTGGTATGAACAAAAGAAACGAAGGATTGGATATGGAGGCCATGCTTACCCAGAGAAGCGAAAGAAGAAAGTCGATACGTTAGACGCATCAAGCTGCAGCAAACAAGCTTATTTTTCGGACCAAGACTCGTCAGAAAGTGACTAGTCGTGTACTATATACATGATAACTTGTAAATATGTATACGTTGATACATTGTTATAAAAATAATACGTTCTAAAAATATTAATTTAGTAAATAGTACAGTATAATAATTAATGTAATATCATTTGATTATGCCTCTGGAGAAAAATTTTTGTCGAAAAAATTTGCACATCGTTTTTTCTCAACTAATTCGCACCCTGGTTGCCTTAATAGTGTCAGACTTATTCACTAGAAAATATATCATAGTTAGTCCCGAATAATCATCCACAAAAGCTAGTGCATAGCGATAATCATTTCTGGCTACAGGATCTATTGGACCTGCTAAATCACAATGGACTAGTTCTAGAATTGCATTTGCACGCCTATCTGGTTTTCTACTTCTGCTCTGAGTCATTTTTCCTTCTACACAAGTTTGACAGTCGAATTCTTCCTTCTTGTCTATTTTCATGCCATCAACCACATTTTCTAAAGCAATAATATCATTTAGGTTGCAGTGCCCTAAGATGTCGTGCCATTCATTTAAAGATTTTCTTTTGCCATTTTGCTTAGTCATGCTAGATGAGATTACACTATTCAAATAATATAACTTTCCTTTTCTCTGAATTGGAAATTCTTTCCCATTTGGGCTAACTAATTTAGCACAATCTGGCGAGAAAGTAACAGTGGCACCTTTACTAACTGCAGCATGTACAGAGAGAATATCTTGTTTATAGGATGGGACATAGAGAGCATCCTTAAGAAGAGCCTTATGCATTACACCATCATTATCACTAATTTCAATCTCCGCATCGCCCCTTCTTTGTGCAACCTTATTTGACCTTTTTCCATCTGCTAACAGAATGAAATGCCTTTCAGGAATGAAATTTGTGTCAAACCTAATAAATTTGCTCATTTCATGAACTATGTGTGTAGTTGCCCCACAGTCTACAAGTACATGGTTAACATTGTCAGCGTTCGTTATATCCACGTTGACATTGAATGCATATGAATGACCTTCATGGATGTCATTGTTACTAACATAATTATCTCTTACTGATTTAGTAGCATCGTTCGTATTCCTCGTTTTCTTCTTGTTCTTGCGACATTTTTCTGTGTTGTGGGAGCTGTTCTTGCACAAATCACACCAACGATTATTTGACTGACATTCTGATATTTTATGTCCTGGTTTTCTGCATCCGTAACAACCGATTTTTCTTTGCCGTGTCTGTTGCTCGTGGGTTTACCGAGAACTTCCATCACGCTGTCCTCCTTTTGGTTATCTTCATCTGAGAGCATTAGTGTTTCTTCGAAACCTCTCAGCGCGACTTTGAATTCGCTAAACGTTTGTTCCTTGTCTTTCTGTGTCACAACCGTCGAGAACGTTTTATATTTTTCAGAAGGCAATCCTTTGATTATCATGGCAATCAGCAAGCTATCGCTTATCGTTTCACCAGCAGATTTGAGAGACGTTGATGCCGTTTCTGCTCGCAGCATATAATCCGTAACTGTTTCATCACTTGACTTCTTTAGCGAGGTTAGTTCTGTATATAATGTTATCACACGTGGTTTGCCTTTCGAAAGATAGTGCTCGCGTAAGATCGCCAAAGCTTTTCTTCCATCGTTAGCAGCGTCACGAATGATGAGAGATAAACTTCTATCGTCCAATAGTTGTATCAGTTTAGCATAGGCATCGGCATTTTTCACAGCGTCTTCTTCTGTTTGTGTTGGTTCAGCGTCCGCAGGCAATGATGACAAGATTGTTTTACTCAGCTTCTTAAGTCTTAAATACCCAAGGAATTTTATTTCCCATAACTCATACTTTCTCTCGTCACCATCGAAAATTAGGCGGCTGTTGCTGGGCCCATAACCTGTTGAGCTCATGATGGTGGTAGCGAATAAATTACACTATTTAGCTAATATAATTCAAGTTTAATATAAGTTAGCCATTCCGTTACATGTGCTCGACCCGACTGAATATATATCATAGCATGCAGTAAAAGTCCCATAAGAATGTTCACGTGTCTATAAGTAAGTTAACTTAAGGAAATATCAAGTTACAATGTTTAACCTAACAGTTAGTTTAACCAGGCTAATGCAAACTTAGCGTTTGACCAATCAGCGCACATGTTTTACTGTTTTTATTTTATAAAAACAGTAAAATCATCAAATATAAAGCAAATTAAAACACAAAAAATTTATTGCAATGATAAAGATATTTCTGTGGTAGAATTAATGGAACATATTGCTACGCAAATATTGCCCATTTACGAGTAGAAATTACTATTTATTTTGATGCACCATGTTTAGTTCTGTGCACCGGAGATGGGCTGCAGCGTCGGCTATTTTTACCAGCTCAGAATTGACGAGACGGAGCTGAAAAACCGGAATTTTCACAGCACTAACCATGTTAACTCATGATTTTATTTTCAAAGATCATAATCATTAAAATTCATCATTTAATTTTTTAGTGAAAATGGTAAAGACAAATGTAGTATTTTCAACTGTTATACTGATCACATTTCTTGGTCTTGCCAAAGGTATTTAACTTCAAATATCCATTTCTTTATTTCACTTAAATGAATTTTGATGCATTTTTAGTTGTTGTAGTAGTAATATTTAATTAGTTTATTTTTTATTCACAATTTTTGAATAGAACTTGAATTGAGAACATCAATTACTTTTGTTATGTTAGTAGAAGATGTATTTTTTTCCAGAACTATCTTTTTATCTGTCATAGATATCAGCTAAATTTTAATTTCAGGAACAATAACATCTCCACCTGATGGTCAAAGATTTGTATTTTTACCTGGATCTTCTCACAATATAACTTGGACATTAAATGTTACTGGAAACATTAATGTATGGATTTGGAGTTTCACACCTCGTGGTTCATCTTTCACTCAACGAATTGCAAGATTATTTTCTATTAGTGACACACCCGAATATTTTCTATCACCTTTTACATTTGAAGTTTTTAAACCTGGAATTTTGAGGCTGAAGAATGTAAATCAAAGTTACAATGGTGAATTTACATTAAGTATTTCAACTATTCCTCGTACTCCTCCATCAAATGTAAATGTTTATATTGCTGGTAAGTTTTAATTATTTCAATCTTTCTTGTATTGTATACATTGTTCTGAGTATTTAATGGGGGAAACGTGGCCTGAAAATTTTGCCGAAGAAACGTTTATACTGTTATTGTGTCGTTGCAAACTTTCTTTTTCGGAGTTGGACCTTTAAGAGGTTTGACAAAGTTTCTGCAGCTCATGCAATTGTAACAATAATGGAGACCTAAAATATGATACATCAGTACTTAAGTCATTTGATTTAGATGTTGAAGTTTTTAAACCTGCAACTCTAATGTTAAAGAATGTTACTCAAAATTACATTGGTGTTTATGAATTTACTTAACTCCCGATCCTATTGACTTATGTGTAAACGTGTCTATTGCAAGTAAGTTGTATTTATTATTTTTGACTTAGCAATGGAGTTATCCAAGCCTTTCATGTAATCTGAGTAGCTGTAGCATCGGGCGTAATTATACGATTTATGACCGCGGTCTAAAATCCTATAGCTAAATACTTGAGCCGTTGAGCGAAGACAAATGCGAAGACTTGTTTTGTTTTGTTTTAATTTAAAAAGGAAATTATAAGGCATCTTTTGATTTGAATAATCTGTGTTAAAGTGCTTGTGTCACAGATTTTACTACATTTGAGTATAGGACAATAAATTAGTTATTGACACCACTTTCGACGTTTTGATACCACTTTCGACTTTAGTGTTATAAAATTTGATATCAGTTAATCAACTGGTAATATCACTATTATGTCTCGCCGAACAAAGAACAGTCTATCCACGCTTACAGATGCTGATGTTAAAAGCTTGATTCTGAAATTGCCCAAAACAGATGAAACCAAAGAAAAAGATATTCCATCAGAAAGATCTGCCAAAGATAACGGAAACAAGACGAAAGAAAATGAAACGTGCACCGAACCTAATGATAAAGAACCAAAATTTCACGCGCACGTGGTTGATGTCGAGACATTTGTTTTAACATTATCCAGCACAGACAAAATGGTTTCAGAAAAGTTAGACATCAGCGATAATGCAAGTAAACTCGACCAAATCCTCGCTCCTCTACGTATTGTAGAAGGAAAATCGAAAAACGGTGATAACGAAAAAGCCGTCCTTCTAGTCGACAACGCGAAAATGGCAGCCGAGATTGACCATTTGAAATTTTTTATTAGCATGCTAAGAGAAGACAACAATCGAATCTTGTCTCTTCTTCATAACAATCAAAATGCTTGGATAGATGTCAATCGTAAGAATCAACCCAAGACAATCAACAAAAAACCAACAACTAATCCTCTTCCTCTAGTAAATAGATTTGGAAATTTCCACGATAAATCCCACAAGGAAAATCACGTAGCTCCGACAGTTAGAAAACCGTCAATGGAAGTATGCCTCACTCAGTCAACTCAGTCCCAACTGAATGCTTACTGCTGTAAGCAGAAGGAAAAGTTTTCAAAATTAAAAATTGGCAATCCTAATGAAGACAACGAGCTAACTGACGAAAAAACTCTATCTCAACTGAATGCCTACCGCAATAAGCAGAAGGAAAAGTTCACCAAATCAAAAATTGACACTCCTAATGACGACCAAGATATAACTGACCAAAAAACCTATAATTATTCAGCGGCATCAACTCTCATCATTGGTGACTCAATGTTAAAACATATAGATCCAAAAAAGATCTCCTGGGCAGCGAGAGGGAAATCTACCTGCCACTCCTTCAGTGGTGCAAAAGTAAAGGACATTCAGCAAAAAGTCCTGGAGATCCCCCAAAATAAATATGGTTCTAATATTATTCATGTTGGTACTAATGATCTTGTCAATAGTAGTGCTGATAAAGTTGCCACAGGTTTAGAGACCTTGATTGTAAGTTCGAAGAAGTTAGCAGTTAAAGTGGGAATTTTAATTGTTATAAAAAGATTTGATGGCAAGGTTTCCTTAAATAAAATAGTTTTTATAATTCTCTCATCTACAAATTATGCTCTTAACATAATGTTTCATAATGTTATGATCACATGAAAATTACTCAACCTGTAAACGGTATCAAACCCAATTAAACATTGAAATCATTGATCAAAGAAAAGGATTCATATTTTTTGAAACCGCTTTTAAAACTGGGAAAGTGGAAAACTGTTACCTGACTCATGAATAAATATCAAAAATTTGGAAACTTTTTAGCACTTAGTACTCACCTACATTTAGTATCTTCGCATTACTGGTTCATTTTTGAGCTATTTATACAAGAAAAACAAAATGCTTTTGTTAGGAAATATAAAGTATAAAGTGAAAGAAAAATTAGAAATCTCAAACACTTCGAAAATGTCCATTTTGTTTATTCTGAGTTTCAAAAATATTTTATTATTTTGACAAGTATAATTTGATTCTGGGCTTTTTATTTTTTACTATTAGAAAGCATAATGAGCAGATGCATGTACGCTTAACGTACCTATTTTTAGTTTTTTGCTCACAAAATATTGAATACAAACGCGCATAGACCGTTTCGTCCAATGACATGGTTCTTCAGCATTCGAAGGAAATACATAGTGCAAAGCAGTAATGTGATTCCGGGCATAGAGCATTAAGCGACAGTCTTTGGTTCCAGGCAGTTGCACAGTCTGAATTCCTGCAGCTACAGCGCATTATAGCAGACATTTGCGCTCTCTGAATTTCTGCAGGAAAGAAAATATCAATGACACATTTTGAAAATAATAAACGGATATTATCTTCAGCAAACTTGTTAATCACACTTTCAATGTCAAAAATAATTTATGGATAAATTTGCATGAAAGCCAAGCAAATTAAAAGCTCTTCTATCATAAAGCTCCTTAGATAGGTTCTTAGATTCCTCAGTGCTGAAATTAATCTTTCACATCCATTACCTAAATTGCAAAGATTAACTTTAATATTTTCAAATCCTGGAAATGTTACATGCTTCAGTGTTTTGACGATGTCTGGCAAAGGTCCATTGATCGTTTCCCAGTTTTCACAGTTCTTTTCCGAACTCTTGATTTTTTCTTGATTTTTTTCTTTGTTTTCTCTTGTTAGTTTTTTCTCGGTTTTATCTTGGGTTTCGTGGTTTTTTATTTGGTTTCAGTCCATTCACCATGGCAATTGCTCTCCTATAGTCAATATAACTTATTGAAGTTATGTAAAATGTCGCTTTCCTACATTCCTATTGGGTGTTGCTATGTCTGAAAAAACTTGATTTTATTTATCAATTATTTTTCACCTTATACTCGTTTTCTTTTTTTTGAATATTCACTAAAAAATTTTCTGTTTTTGTTTTCAGTAAAACCAAATGCCTCAATTAATTGTTCAACTCCTCTGGTTGTGAGTAAAGGTGATAATGTGTCATGTGTATGTAGAGGTGAAGGAGGTAACCCTCCTGCTAATGTCACATGGTTTGATAAAGATAACAACATTGGTGATGTTGGAGTTGTAAGTAAGACATTAGTAATCACTAATGTTACATTAAATGATGGTGGAAATTACACATGTAAAGCACAAAGTTTTGATGATACAGATTATAGAGATGAGAAATCCATTGAAATAACAGTGACACCTATATGTAAGTTTGCAAGGCGGCATTTCAGATCTTATTATGAACGTTTACAGAATATTGAATTTTGTTAATTCTATACAAATCCACAATTATGTTGTTCTTTTCCAACATCAAAGTCTTTTTTACAAATGAAATTTTCGTTAGCAGTTTAGTGGAAAATTTCCACTGATCTGGACTTTAAGCGAGTGATAAGCGGGCTTCGTGCTGGCTTGTGACTGGTTAGGGCATCGATCCAACACTCCTAAGAAAATGCACCTAGCACTAACGAATACTCTCATTATTAATTTTTTTTTTCATAACTAATTGAAGAAAGGAATATTTTCTGTTTTTAATTTCAGTGAAACCAAATGTGGTAATTAATTGTTCAACACCTCTGGTTGTGAATGAAGGTGATAATGTCTCATGTGTATGTAGAGGTGAAGGAGGTTACCCTCCTGCTAATGTCACATGGTTTGATAAAGATAACAACAAAATTGGTGATTTTGGAGTTGTAAGTAAGACATTAGTAATCACTAATGTTACATTGAATGATGGTGGAAATTACAGATGTAAAGCACAAAGTTATAATGATCCACGTTTTAGAGATGAAACATCTATTGAAGTAACAGTGAAAGCTACTTGTAAGTTTGTAAGACAGCATTTCAGATCTCATTATAAACGTTTGTGTAGAATATTGAATTTAATTTTATTCTTTACAGATCCACCACAGCAAACCAATATTACCATCAGTCCAATGTCAGTAAAAAAAGGTCAAAATGTGATAGTATTATGTGACTCAGAGGGTTTTCCTCTGCCATCGTACATCATCTATCACAATGGTGCAGTTATCAGTAATAGTAAGACATACATCATTCAATCTGTCAACTTCAATAACGCTGGTTCATATCGTTGTGAAGCAAAGAATAAACTGGGAAATGATTCATCTGATGTTAAAAATCTTACTATCATCACAGGTAAAATTAAAATTTACTTTCATCAATATTTGAGATAGTATCCTGCATTGTACGTAAATCAGAATTATTTACGACTTGTCAATGTTCATCTTCAATTGACTTGCATTTGTACACTATAGTACAAGATTGTAAAAAAAGTCTTTTTTACAAATGAAAATTTTCATAAAGTAAATTGCTTTATGAAGCAGCGGCCAAAAATCTCATTAGTTACCAAATTAGTGGGAAAATTCCACTAATCTGGACTTTTACTGATTAGCGCGATATGCGCGATATGCTCTCTGCGCTGGTTTGTAACTGATTTGGACGTGTGGCCATTCTTACGCTAGTCGTAGTTCGGCCGTCTAAAACTGTGATCGTACTCAAATTGTAAATCAACTACTGCGTATGCTCTATGGACTCAGACTGCTTCACCCGGATCTGTGGCATCAAATTTTGCCTTTTTTATCGTTCTTTTTATCGTTGTGAAGCAAAGTTTACACTGGGCAAAGATTTGATGTGAAAAATTTCGCTATCAACCAAGGTAAAAAGATTGAGTTTCACTCTTTCATTTGGTTTGTTCTTTTTGGTGAATTATTATCATTTTTTTTTCGATAGATATTTCTGTGATTCAGTATTCTGTCAGCATTTTCATCTCTTTGACATTATAATTTGAGTTGATTTCTGTGTAGCTATTTTAGCATTTGTCATTTAAGCATTTATCAAGATATTCATCTACTGATTTCAACACGAAAGGTAATTTATTTACTATGCTTTAAAATCATATTTAAAATACTATTAGCTCTTTCTGTTGAATTTGCATGCGCTACCTGAGATGCTAAAAATCCTTAAACGAAAATTTAAGCAAATCGCTCTTTTATAACAAACTTTAGCTCTAGCCACACAATGCAATTAACATCTCGACCTTTGCCTTGGACTTAATGGAAATGTTCAATTCAATCTATCCAATGCTCAATAAAATGCTCCAATCTTGTTATCATATGTATTTTATTATTGTATGCAAATAAACTTTTTTGATTTCTTTCCATATTTTTAAGTTCTATGCTTCCTCTCTAGACAACGTTCTTTGTGATGACCAAAATGAGAAAATAAAACAGTGCAAAACAGAATGGTACATTATTTTACTAACTTTAACCTCTGGAATCATCGTTGGAATTTTGGTTTCTATTTTAATTGTTTTTCAATATCGTCGACATTGGTTTAGTAGAAATTGTCAACAATTTCAATCTCCATCTGAAGTTAGAATAAATTCTGTTGATACAACTTATCAAGAATTGGATTTATTAAAAATAAATAAAGAAGATAATTATCAATCATTGAGACCAGAGGATGACAGAATTGATAAAACTTATCAAGAACTAGACATATCGAAAAGGAATATAGAAAATAATAATTATGAATCTTTGCAAAAAAAATAATGAATCGGAGTACGTGATAGCCGACGAAAGAAGAAATTATGAGAACAGTAATTTGTTTTCAAGAAAATCATAAATTTATTTTAAACATTTTCCATGTTGTAAAGTCACAATGGTGCTTTTACGAACATTTACATTTTCTGATAAGATTTGAATTTTGCATGTTTTCCTCCCTTTGGAGCTGCCAATACTTTATGATTTCCAGAAGGAAGCCATTTTTGGATGAGAAAATACACTGGTCATTCTGACTCATTCATTGGTTGTTTTTGATAACAGTGTAAGGTAATACTGTTTTTGAATAAGTATTTTCTATTTATCTTACTATACACCTGCCTTCCTGACTTATTTCCCGTGTATACCAAACTGTTTAGAACAGGATCACGAAAAGGCCCTGAAAAAGCACGAAATCTTATTTCCGATGAACCTTAATCGTAAATTTCAAAATTTGTCTTTGATTAGAGAATGCCTTGAGACCCAGCTAGTTAAGAGAAGACCATAGTTGGATAGTTAAGAATACCTTTAGTGATCTACTATGGAGCGCCAATCGTAACAAAAATTATTTACAGTTTATATGGTCTCATTTTTAATTCAGGGCTAGTGGGTTGTTCGACAACACAAAGAGAGCCTCAAGAATACGGGGACCTTTAGAAAATTTAGCGTCTTAATACTTGAAATAAAAAACAAATGTACTGGAGAATCCTGATTGTTTAATATCGCAATGCTCCAGACATACAAAAACCTGCATCATTCGGGAGCAACAATAAAACTGTTAACGTTTGGATGTTTCATTCTCAGTCTGACTGCTAAAACAACAAGAGCAATAACTTTAACTTTATAAATCAAAATTTCAATATTTATTATTAATATACATCTTGAAATTTGAGTTATTATTGTTATGTTGTTGCTCTTTTCCAACATCAAAGTCTTTTTTACAAATGAAATTTTCATTAAGCAACTTGGTTAATAATGCAGCGGCTTAATCCAAAAATCTCATAGGATAGCAGTTTAGTGGAGAATTTCCGCTTATCCGAAATGATATTGATGGATAAGCGTGTATATATATAGCTTGTAACTGATCAGTTCATGACCAGGGGCGAAATTTAAGGGGTATGGGGAACTAACCCCCAAAAATGTTTACGTTGTAGGGCAACGATTGAATTTGCAGGGCTAATTACAAAACTAAACACTAGGATACGTGCTAACAGTTATCCACATAATTTGAAAATATAGTTCAGTTTTAATTTAAGCTGGATTTGCACTTATAAATTTCCTCTTATTTTGGCGGACATTTTAAAAGCAGATATGCATCACCATCTTAGTGTTCGTAAGTAAAATTATTGAAGTTTTTATATCTTAAGTGGAAACACCATACTATATTTTTACATCAGTAGACACAAACACTAAGATAAATTTTGTTGATTTAAATTGATTGAAGCTATTTAGTAACTAGTGTTTGTATAGTTTATTTTACGAACAAAGAAAGTCAAGGATGAATGGTAAGTAATAGCAATTATTTAAACAAAAAACCCGAAACCAACAAATGTGTAAATGTGATTGGTATTTATTGTCATTATAACAGAAAATTCCAAAGTTATCAAGAACGAGAGAAAACGGCCGTATCGGCAAAAAATTAAGTGTTCTGCATGTAATAAAGAAATGTTCAATGATAATTTTTCTAAACATAATAATTCCACTCACAAAGGAAAGGGCAAAATTATCAACATCGTTGATCCGTAACAAAAAAGACTCTCATTTGCGTCGTGCAATGTAAGTTAAAATTTGTTTCGAAATTCATAAAAGTACAGTAACAAAGGACTTGTTTTATAAAGTCTGTTTTAAACTAATGTTTAGAAAAGTACGACGTCTTTAGAGTCAAGCAGCACCAGTCTTAACGAGATAAATGAAACAGCTGTCGTTGTGTATGAAGAAAAAAACAAAGAGGAGTTGGAGTCATGTGCTGTTTCAGAAAATCCGTTTACTATTGAAGACAACACGTCTGGTACACATGAAATAGCAGAATTTGAGGCAATGCTAGATGATAATATAAACGAAGAAGTGGAACTTTGTGTGGCTATTGAAGAGCCATTTTTTGTTGACGACGACACTTCTGTTAACAGTCACGCAGCGAGATTTGGAGCAGTAGAAAATAGTTGTTTGCTGAGTGATGATAGTTCAAATGAAGAGGTAGACGTTAAGATTAAATCATGTAATACTTATTTCATTAGTCTTTTGATTGTTCAGAATAAAAATACGAATCTTTTTTAATACGAATCTTCCAATTGTCATTTATTCATCTGTTAAAAGCAAATTTTTGTATTTAATTTACTGGATGTGTCTTTTTTACAATATCTTTATACGTTTAGGCTGCACAAAGTGAAAAGTTATCAAACTGTGATTCAGATAACCAAGAAGATATTACATGAATCACTTGTGCAGGACAGTTAAGAGTTCTATCACAACTTTTTCATCAGTGTGAGAATAGATTTTTGTATTTAATTTACTGGATGTGTCTTTTTTACAATGTCTTTATACGTTTAGGCTGCACAAAGTGAAAAGTTATCAAACTGTGATTCAGATAACCAAGAAGATATTACATGGATCACTTGTGCAGGACAGTTAAGAGTTCTATCACAACTTTTTCATCAGTGTGAGAAGCGATAATAGATAATGATAGACACGTAAACGCGAAGCGCTTTTCAGAGAAAGTGAAGCACATAGCAAAAAAAATACAAGATTTGTCTGTGAAACTGGTAAAAAATTGTTCAATTGTCATCAACAAAGCACAGCGAGATGAAATTGAAATTGGTTGCCCAGTTTTAGAGGAAAGCTCTAAAATTACTTCTCGTGATCCAAGCTTAAGGCCACGAGATATGAATGACGATCAAAGAAAGTTTCTCATGCAACAAAGACCCTGTCAACCTAGATTGAAGTCTTTTCCTGTAAATGAAACAAAAGCCAAAAATAAACCTAACAAATTTAATGCATCCTGGTACGACTCTTTCCCTCATCTTGAGTACAGTCAGAAGGAAAATAAAGCATATTGCTTTGTATGCCCATTATTTCCTAGTGGGCCAGAACGAGAAAAAAGTGATCCAGCATGGATAAATGGTGTACGATCATGGAAGAAAATGAGGAGCGTTGGTGCAAACAAGAAAGGAAAATTTCATAAACACTTCAGTAGCAAGTCCCATCAAGCTGCTCTGGCTGATTTTGCTCGTTTCTCAATAACATCTGGCCATATTGATGTGATGATGAATGCGAAAATGAAGGAAGTATTGATCCAAGAGAAAGCAGATGGAGAAAAGAACAAGGAAATTATGTTGATTCTACTTGATGTGGTTCGCACTCTGGCAAGGCAGTCATTGGCATTCAGAGGAGGAGGCGATGACAAGGACGGAAATTTTCATTCAGATTGTAAATCTTCTCTCAAGACATTGCCCTGTTCTTAAGCTGTGGCTGGACGATCAGCGCCTCAGGCCATACAGTACAACATATACAAGCTCAGAGGCAAAAAATGAGATGCTTCATTTGCTGGCTCAATCTGTGAGGGATGAAATTCGGGCTGAAATTAAGTCAGCCGGTGTATTTTCTGTGTCTGCAGACACTACACCTGATACATCGAATCAAGACAAGCTTATCGTTGCTGTAAGATATGTCAACCAGATGGGCATCCCATGCGAGAGACTGGTTGAAATGAAAGAGACCCTTGATAAAACTGGTTCTGGAACGGCTAAAGATGTCATAAAATCTTTAATGGAAAAGAAATCGATATAGATATGCTTGCATTTCAAACATACGATTTCACAACATCAATGTCTGGACGACTAAATGGTGCTCAAAAAGTGTTGCAAGAAATTTTAAAACGACAAGTGCCTTACATCCCTTGCCAGGGACATCGGTCTAATACATTCAACGAGCATTGTTGCAAACATAGCTCAATAACTACATCAATGTACGACGCTCTAGGCGTATATGTGTTTTTTAGTAAAAGCACAAAATAAAATAAAATTATAGAAAAAAGTTGCAAAGATGTTGAAAACAATTTAAAGTTTCGAAACTTGTCAAAGACGAGATGGGTTTACAATTCTGAATCCATTGATGCTGTCTGGAGAAGTTATGAGGCAATACCAAATGCTATTGTGAAAGTTATTAATGCTCAAGATGTAGAATCAAAAGTAAAAGCTAAACGCGATGGAATAAAAAAGAAATTTTTTAGTTTCGACTTTCTTTTGCTCTTATGTTCATGCGAATCATAATGGCAAAAACCAAAATCCTAACCAAACAACTGCATGAGGAGGAGCTAAATATAGTAGATGCACTTAACCTGATTGATGCTACAGTAAAAAACTTTAGACAAATTCGAAGTGACGAGAACGGATTAGACTCGGAGATAGAGGCAATGGTTGCATTTGGAACCAAAGTAGGAATAGACGTAATGGCAAAATACACTCGTCATCATCGATCAAGAAAGCCACCCAAACGAATTGGCGAGCATTCCGAAATAACAACAGAAATATCATTTAAAGATTTCTACCGAAAGGAAATGTACTTGGTTCTAGACTCACTTATTACCGAGTATACCGATAACATTAAAGATTGCATCGACAAAATAAAACCTTTTGGAGAGAGCTTACAGCTGCCGCTAGAAAGACCGATGGCTGAAATAGTTAATGAAATGTGTAGTCTTTCCACCGGCGGTAAAAGATGTTGATGCAGAAATACTGCTGTCGGAGTCGGAAATTTTCAATAATATTGTGTCATCACAACTTAAATCAGAATCTAAATCCCTTCAAGACGTTTCGTTATTTGCTTTCAAGCACAAAAACGTCTTTCCAACGATGTGCAAGGCGTATCAACTATTGCTGACCGCTCCAGTGTCCGTGGCAAAAGATGAAAGGTGTTTCAGCAAGCTTAAGATTGTCAAAAACTGCCTGAGATCCACAATGAAATTTACGACTTACAAATCAAGATTCTCAAAAATAGTATTTTGTGCAAAGAAACTAAACATAATTGGAAAGGTCACATGTTGAAGACAGACTTTGCTTCTTTGACTAGGTTCCTTGACCATGAGCAAATTTAAATTTGTTTACAATTTGTTTAAAGAATTCTTTTTATTGATTTGTACTAATTCTTCATAAGACACAAAGAATTTCTTTGCCATCTATTTTTGCTTCCTCCACATTCAACTTCATTGTAACTAATGCGTCCGATGTGAATTTGTGGATCACCTGGAATCATACCAAGTATGGATTTGATGAGATGAGACAATAATATGTTTAATTTTTCATGCATATTAATGATATAATCATAACATGCAACAAATCTTAGCACATTGCTCAACACACCACTTTTATCTTGGTTTTGAAGTAGTAACCTGTTTACTATAACAATAAATACTTCATTTACAGAAACGCTAAGTAGTACTTTAAAACTGTTTGCATAAATCCAACTTTCCAATCCCATTGTAATTGTCTACACTATACAGCCAGTCAAATTGAGCAGGCAAACAGTTTAATAGTTATTTTTATTATACAACATATACCATAGTTCTCATTAATTTTGCATGGCACTGCATTCAATTTCAACACAACTCTGTTGTAAACTTTCCCTTCATCTTTTCAAAAAAAATATGAACAAATTATGCCCCATTTTTGGGAGGTAAACTCAATTCAAATCAGGAGAGTTTAGCTTGATGCCTTGATCATGATACAAGATGGATGCAAAACTCGATAAAAATTGACAGCTTCGACACTTCTAGCGAGCGATTAAGTGAAGAACAAACAAGACTGGACCAAAATAACTTTAAATTAAAACTTAGTAGTAGAAACACTCTCAAGTATCGTGTTAAAAACAAAATAGTAAAACTAATACTGTGCTACTTACCGGAGTCAAGAAATGTTCCCTTTTCTGTCGCTATTTCAGCATCCGCAAACCACAGAAGTTGGCAGTTTAATAAATAAAATTTAAAAAAAGTGTTTATGTTAGGAAAATAAATAGTTTTGATATTTTCTATACTCGCAATCGTGGTGGTCAAATCAGGGTGGGCGACAAAAATTTATTTCATGAGCCCGCGTGTCTCCGCTGACTTTGACCACCAAAACCGCTGTCACAGTGATATGGGTATCCCCGTGTTTTGGGTATCCCCGTACTTAAATCACTAGTGTTTTGGGCATCCCCCGTGAGGATACCCCAAACACTAAGACCATGGCATATGGCCGAAATAAATTAAGACCATGTAGCTTGAAACGAAAATTGGTATTTCTAAAAAGGACATGTATGGAAGTAATGACCAGACATTATAAAGGTGAGATGAGCAGCTATTTCTAGCTAAAATATTATGTCTTTATTGGTATTTCATGGCATCTTGTTTGAATTACGTATGAAATGCTTCATAGATACCGTTGACATATAAATTTGTTGTTGTGATTTCCATTTTTTTTCATTCTGTATTGCGAAGTACATTGAACGTATACTTTTGAATAGACTTGTAATTTAACAGTTTTAGATTGTCTTCAGTTCATTCAAACATAAAATGATTTATTAAAAACTGGGTAGTGTCAAAAACTGTCAACAATTACGCACATTTGTAACAATATCTTTTCTTGTGATATAATCAGACTTTTTTACCCCTCGAAGAATACAACATAACAAATGTTAAAACAAATTGCAGTATAGTTAAAAGTACTAATAATTCAGAAGAAGAATCGACTTTCATTATCAGTCACATAACACACACTTAACCTGTTTTTACTTCTTTTGACCACAATGTGGATTACATTTCCATTTTATTTCTGCTTTTTTAAAAAATAGTTCTGGGACATCAAGGCAGTGTTTATGAAACCAGCTCTGACAACTGACAGATTCAACCATGTCATCTTCCTCCCTGACATATGGAAGGCGACATCTACAGTAAATTGGTATAAGAACCTTGTGTGATGTTTGTTCAGGGCTTGACATTCTTGGTACAGATGGAAACATATGCATTTTGCCATTAGTAAAACAATTCCACAAGTGACTTCAGATATTCCTCCTTTTGAAAGTTATCTTGCTGGGATCCTGTCATAACAAAACACTTGAGAAAACGATTTTTGAGAGCAAACATGTTTCGACATTATCAGAATGCCATCTTCAGTGCAGAATGTTTAGTGTTAAGTAATATGATACGTAATATGATATGAATATGAATAAATTAATTACAAGTAGTTTAGTGTTAAGTAATATGATACGTAATATGATATGATATGAATAAATTAATTACAATGAATAGGATTATGATTTAGTGACAAACTTAACACTAAACTAAATCATAATCCTATTCATTGTAATTAATTTATTCATATCATATCATATTACGTATCATATTACTTAACACTAAACTTAATTCTATTCATTGTAATTGATTTATTCATATTCATATCATATTACGTATCATATTACTTAACACTAAACATTCTGCACTGAAGATGGCATTCTGATAATGTCGAAACATGTTTGCTCTCAAAAAAATCGTCGTTTTTCTCAAGTGTTTTTTAAAATTGCTGCTAATTAGAAATTATGATGTAGCAAAAGCAATAGCAAATATACCACAGTCATATCCATTTGTCTGTTGGGTGACTGGCTCAATTGAGATTTCGATTACATTTTCTGGCTGAAGGTATAGCAGACTAGC